AAATATTTTGAAAGGCTTGCAGTGTGGAAGGGTGGACCATGGGAAAATCGGTAAATATGCGGCGTCCTGCGAGCAACATAAATATTAATTTGCCTTGGCGTTGTTTGAATGGACTCGGGGCTGCATCAAAAATGGGTTAGAGGAGTGGAAAATATGGTGAAGTAAAAGCGTGAACCTCAATACATCACGTATATTGAGCGAGAGAAAGAAAAGAAAAATTGAGGCCATTGAATAATTATGCAATTTGCCTTTGGCACAGGTATTTGGGTTTACTCGAAAATATAAAGTATATTAATTGATGTTTTAAAAAATATGTTAAATATTCTCCAAAAGTAAGAAATTTTTAATTACATATTCAATTTATTTCATAATATTTTTTTTTTTTTTGAAAATATAAATACAAATTTTACTGGTTCTTCAAAATTAGAATTACTAAAGTCTAGAAGTAACTAAAAAAATATTTCTTAGAATGAATTAACCTGGAAATATTCATATTTTATCATATTATATAATCATATCTTATAAACAAAATATATATAATTAAACAAAATCGTCGTACAAAAAAAGGACTTTTAGCTGTCATTTTACTTTAACATTGATGCTATATAATATATAAGCACAATAGATATTGAAAATTCAAAAGGAAGGTTTCTTTTAGGATTGGATTTCGTCATTGGGAAAGAAAAGGGAATTGGATTTGTAGATAGAGGAAATCAGATCATTTAAATAAAAATGGATAAAATTAGTTTATTTTAAAAATATTTATTAAAAAAACAATATATTTATATGTAATGTACTCAATTGATGCTATTATATTACAAAATTATATTATATTACAAAAAAGATTATCTTTTCATCCTCATCTTTATCATCTTCATCATCTGCATTGACTTCGCCAAAAGTGGAGCCTTTTTGGACGGGAGTGAAGCCTTGGGAGTGCTATTAACAATTCTTCTTCTTATATTTTCATTGGGTAGCGAAATATTTCCCAGAGTGCATGTTGTTTCTAATGCATGCATTCTCATTGACGGGGTAATTAAGGGTGTCTTGAAATGAACAATCTTCTTGTTTTTGGACTGAATCCTGGCGACATTTGGTGGTGGCTTCAACTTAGTGTCAACATATGCCATATTTATTTGTCTTACCGGAACGCAATTATCCTGAGACCGCTTGACAATTTTCATTACGTCTTTTAACTTCCTTTCCCGTTCGTTCTTGCATCTCATGTACATTTCCCTCCATGACTCCATAACGCCTTTTCTTTCATCCTGGAAATGCTTCTGCACGTGAAATTTCCAAAGCTCACTGGATTCCTTCCTAATGTATGGCTTTTGGCATTCCACTTTGAGCAACTGTTCTGGTGTCATTTTCTCCAGGATTGGCTTGATCAGGGAATACGGTACTCCAGTGATGTTGTTTAGTAATTCTAAATTCTTTTGAATCACATTAGTGCATAGACCGAAGAGAGTAGGTACATTAGTACTTTCTACCATTTTTTTCTGCCCAGAATAGACTTTTGTGCGTTCAGATTTGCAGAATATTAATTTTGTTAGATTTTCCTGTTGTCTTTCAGACAAAGTCATTTTTCTGTTTGGATTTTCCTGGGGCTTACTTGCTATAGAATGTGGCATTGATGTAATTTTTCCATCCTGCACTTTTTCTTTCAGCAGCGTTGGCTTTGATATTAACCCAGTAACATTGTGCTTTGAGCATTCCTTGTTTACTTTAATATTCACAATTTGATTATCTAAAACTTTAATTCTTTTTGCGCTGTTCGTTTTCCAAGAACTGCTTCTCACATTCTCATTTCCATCACACAAAATGCTTTCACGCTTCTTCTCTGTAATAGACTCAGAGTCAGTAACATTGTGCTTTGAGCATTCCTTGTTTACTTTAATATTCACAATTTGATTATCTAAAACTTTAATTCTTTTTGCGCTTTCGTTTTCCAAGAACTGCTTATCACATTCTCATTTCCATGACACGAAATATGTTTGCGCTTCTTCTCTGTCTTCACTGTAATAGACTCAGAGTATTTTTTAATGTTATTCTTCTTTAGCAAATTGATCATTGAACATTAAAGCATCAGCAAAACTCATGCCTGATTTACTATCAACAGCAACATTCTTTTCCTCCTTATAGCTGCTGCCTCTTGATTTAGATGAAATACACTTTTTCTCATATCTACTACTCCTGTCCGAAGACGAGTTTGAAACTTTGTTAATTTTTACCATTTTAAATTTTGCTTGTGGAAGTATTTTTTAACTATACTGCACTGTTGTCTGCTGGAGAACTACTGATTTGATTTTGAAATGTGATGCCCTTATATACCCTATATTCTGATCATAAAGTATTAGAGGGTATTAGCAAATTACTATTTGGAGTGGGGATTTACCTTATAATTGCAGGTAGTAGCAATAAAAAAGAGGATTAAACTGAAAATTATATTGCTTTATTTTTTATTGCAGTTGTTATAATTTTACTGAAAATTTAAAATGCAATATGCATAACTAGAATTGCAATTAAGTAAGAAACTTATAATAGCAGGTAGATGAAGAAATAAAAGGGTATTTGAAAGTTTTATTGCTTTACTTTTGTAAAATCTAGAAATTGTTGCAAACTGAACTAATCGTGAAACTAAATAGAAAAGTGAACCGCACGAAAAATGAATTAATTATTTTTTTTAGATTTTATTTTTCTCAATTAAAATTTAGTTTAATTTAAAATATTCAAATCAGACTACAGTGAATCCGAATTGATCGAAGCCGCACTATTCGAACTATTGCTGTATTCATATTATATTTTTTTTTAATAAATTAGTTCGTGTATTATAATTGGAATAATCTTCAGTACATTCCTTAATTATTTGATTCAATTCTTATATAGTATTATAAATAGTCATATTGTTTTTTTAATCAAATTAATCGTGTTTTTTTCCTAGTAAGGCAGTGGACTAGGCATCTGTATCTGATTATGTAATGCAGTAATCAGGGTCGTAAACGCATTAAGATTAAATCCTGGTCCGGCGCCGCAAATCCCCTTGCAAACAATTCCTGAATGACCACAACCACTACAGCTAGGAATTGCCCCATCACTAGGAATTATAAGCCGTAACTACTAAGTTCCGTAATATCAATGGATTACCAATGCTATATATATATCCAGTACAATATATACAATTATATCATTCAATTACGTGATGCATCGAAATTATAAAAACCTATTGTTTAAATCGAGTCAAAGGAAACACCGTTCGTATACTTGTAGACTTAATGTGTTACTTTTTTTTCTCTCACTTTTATTCCATCAATTTGGGATCAGAGGGGACAACAGAGGAGACGTGAAAACGTTCGTATCCTAAAGTTCACAGTGATGAGAACAAGCAATTAAAAATTCAATTAAGTTCGTATTACGACGAGTTTTCCGCGCAAAAAGAAAAGCGTGATTATCAAGTTCGAAAGATGACAAATACAACGTTTATTGGAAAATTAGATTGGAAAGATATTTATTTTACAATTTATGATTTCGAATACTAATTTTTGTTACTAAACAAATAAGAATTCAATAAAAAAAAGATATTTTCTGAAATATTACTGATTTTAATTAATTTAAGATTGAAGAATAATGAATAGTATTAATTAATTTTAATTGAATGTAAACTTATGTTTTTGTTAAAATTTGTTTGCGTTTACATTGAGATTAAAGGTAAAGGATTTTATGTTTACACTGAATTAACGTACCAAAAGCGTACTCAGTGAGCAATT